CCTGCCTCTGCCTCCCGAGTGCTGGGATTAAAGGCGTGCGCCACCACCGCCCGGCCTTGTTTTGTTTTGTTTTTTGAGACAAGGTTTCTCTGTGTGGCCCTGGCTGTCCTGGAACTCACTCTGTAAATCAGGATGACCTGGAACTCAGAGATGCACTATCATCTGCTTCCCGAGTGCTAAGATCTAAGGCATGTGCCACCCCTGCCCAGTGTTTGAGTGCAGTCTTAAATTTGGAAATTGACAATTAGAGTGTAAATAGTAGCTTTATACAATGGACCAAAAATAGCTAAAGCAGTAACGAGGAACAGAGTGGAAGAACAAAGCCCAGTGGCTGGGACCTAGTAGAAAACTTCAGTAGTTAAGGCACTAGAGTTGGGCAAATATTAGATATATTTACCAGGGGATAATCACAATTGGTGACAAAAGGTGAACCCTCATCTTTGTTAATGCAAGTCAGAACCTGTCTCACACCATGGGCTTAAATCAATTCCAGCTGTACTAGAGATGTAAATGTTAATGGTAACAGTAATAAAGCTTTTATAAGACAAAATGAGGTAGTATTTTCATTACTTAGATTGAAAAGTATTTCTTAAACAGAACACAAAAAACATTAAAAGAGAAAAGGATTGTTAATTTGAAATAAAAGAAAGTGACTATCACTAAGAGTACATAGGCAAATTATAGAATGGTACAAGATATTTGTCACACAGATAACCTTCCCTTTGGGATAATACGTGAAGAAAAAGATGGATCACTCAGGAGAGAAATGGACCAGAGGTTTATTAATGAATGTAAGCAGTAATTAACTGAAGAAGTATTTTGAAGCAAATAAAGCACAAAAAGGGAGCCTATGTGTAACTTAGTGGATAAAGGCACCTGCTGTGCAGCCTGGCAACCTAAGCTTTATCCCTACAACCTACATAAAAATGGAAAGAGACCCAATGCCACAAAGTTCTCATTTGACCTCTACACATGTGCCATGACATGCATACCTTCCTCCAAACCCCATTATGGACACACAGTGTAATAAATTAAAATTTTTCCCAAAACTTGAAAAAATACTAAACCTCATTCATGATCAGAGTAATGTATTGTACACTAAAACACAAAGATGCATATTCAAACCCACCAGAATTGCTATAAAAGTGAAAGCCAATATTATCAGTGGTGATGCTCCACAGTATAGAGAGTCATACAAAGTTTCATAAACTGCTCTGGAAGAGTAAATGGTAGGAGAAACTTAGAAAGCGGTGTGGAGTTTTCTACTAAAGTTAAATGTACATATGACCTATGCTAATCCCACTCGTGGGTGCATGTTCAGTAAAAATGTGTGCTGGGCATACCAGATATTTAGTGGAATGTTCATGTCATTATTTGTAGTAGCTGCAAATTCTGAGCAATAAAAATGTTAGTGCAAAGAATGAGCAGATTGGTAGTTTATACAAAAGAATATTGCATAAAGCAGTGAAAATGAACAAACCACAGTTGCACACACAAGTGGATGACTCTCAGGTATGAACTTGAGGAAAGAGGACAGGTACATCTCTCAACATGGATTCTGTAACGCTGTTTTTCTCAAATCCTATAAAACTATTAGAGATACCTTCTCAGGATGGGAGGAGTCAGGAGGGCCCTTTACAGTTCCGTTTCCCTTTAATGTTCCGTTTTTGTATTGGTGGTTTTCAGACAAACAAGTAAAGTATATTTAATGAGGTGCATTGCTTTTCTTTTGCTGATTTACTGTTTTAGAGCAGACCTTTTGTAACCCTAGGATAGCTTAAGTTCCATCAGACTCATTTCTGTAGACTTGCTTTTACCCTAGGTAACTATTCCAACTAGTTTTGACAAAGTCTGCTAGGAACAAGTTTAAATAAATAACCCGAAGTCAGGATTTGAATTGGCTTCTATTATTTTCCCAGTTACCAGCTTGACTTTATAATGCATTACTGTCTTTTAGGTTGTGATAAATTGTGCCATTCCTAAAGGGCTGAAGTACAATCAAGCTACACAGACTTTCCACCAGTGGCGGGATGCTAGACAGGTGTATGGTCTCAACTTTGGCAGCAAGGAGGATGCCAATGTCTTCGCAAGTGCCATGATGCATGCCTTAGAAGTGTTAAATTCACAGGAAGCAGGTAAAGTGTCTGTGCTTCCCCTGTATTCTTCAACTGAAATGCTATGTATATGTTAGAGCAAACCTTTCTTGTCAACTTTTAAGTCGTATATATATTTAAAGTAATTCCTAAGTTTTCTGGAAAAAAATGTGAACTGTTCTTTATGTTAAAAGTTTAGAAGCATCATCCTGTGAGTTTAGTCTAGTTATTTGTCAAACCTCATTTGAAATTACTTAGATTTTCCATCCTGTCTTAAAACATAATTTTTGATACTAGGACATGAGAGCCGCCGGAGATACGAGGTGAGGTCTCTCTCTATGTTGTTCAGGCTAGCCTCCCATTCTTCTCTTTAGACAGTCCTGCCTTCTCATTCCCAGGTAGCTGGATCAGTCATTCCACTATGCCTGATGTTACTTGTTTTTTATGAAAAACACATAGGTTTCTAAAATACACTTTCCAAGCCACTGCTAATCCTAAGGACTTAAAATTAGAATAAGATCTCCTAATGAAGAAGAGCTTGGCTATAAAGCAGTGGCTCTCAACCTTCCTAATGCTGCGGCCCTTTAATACAGTTCATCATGTTGTAGTGACCCCAACATAAAATTACTTTTGTTGCTACTTCATAACTGTAGTTTTTCTACTGTTTTGAGTTATAGTATAAATGTCTGTGTTTTCTGATGGTCTTAGGCGACCCCTGTGAAAGGGTCATTCATTCGACTTCCAAAGAGGTCATGACCCACAGGTTGAGGACCACTGTTCTAAAAGGTTGTTTAAAGATTTGAGGCATGCCCTCAGCTGGTCCAAGCCATAATTGGACAGTAATATATATATATTTGGACATAATAACAGTATTAAACTACATGTTGCTTAGAAAGAATAGAAATAATTCACTTTTTAAAGCTCAAGTATTTGAAATGTTATGTCAGAGATAAACTAAATTTTCTTTTGCTTTAATGCAATAAAAAATTTTATAATCAGAAAATGTTAAATATGAAAAAAATACATATAATCAATTACTCCTGTGTTGTATGTTTGATAGTGATTTTAATGATATAAATGTTATGAGTAGAATTCATATAGTTTAATGAGGAGTATTATAGCCAGATGAAATATTGATATTTTGTTGATATATAAATCCATTATAAATGTTATATTTATATCTTACTCCGAAAATGATTGAAGCATGAAAAGGATCAAAACATCGAACTCCTTTGTCTGTTTTAAAAATGAACTTTAGAGCAATCGGCATTTTGAGATCTTGCAGAAGGCTTTATGGTATTATACCTGTACCTGTTTTATATAAAGTTTTCTTTGAAGGAAATCAGTATCTGTAAGGAACATATTTTGTTCTCATCGGATCTGTTTTGAGGAAATAAACCACAGGAACATATTCTAGTTTCTCTCTTAGTCCAAAAAGAAGATAGTGAATGGCACCTGTACTTTTATTGGCATGTATTATAGGGATAGACTTACACTGTAGTGATTGGGAAGGAACTAGATTCATGATTCATATGTCTTAAATAGGTCAGTTACATAATTTGAAGTGCACAGCAGCTTCTGTCTTCCTGTGTTTGGAACCAACTGCCATTTTTATTTCTGAGCCTTCAAAGGTGGTCCAGTTAAGAACTAAATGTCACTTGACATAGGTCAAATTATTATTGATGTTGGTTTTTGTTTTTACCAAGTGGAAAATACTGTTTCTATCAGTGAATAATATTACCATTAGCTTTTAAAATGCAAATGGCGAGTGTTGGTTTTGTTCTGATTCTGATTATTTGAAATTGAGTCTTAGTGTGGAGAGACTCAAATTACTCTCTTACAAAACAATGAACATTAAGAACCACTGTTTTGAATTATGTAAAGTTTTGCAAATAGGAGAATCAGTGGTTTCATTTGCTGTAGAAGCATTTTTGGTCTGTATAGTATATGGGATTATTGTTAGGGACAGTGTCTCTTCTCTTTCACAATTTCAATTGTGGCAGTATAAACTGGTGGAAGTTAGTTTTCTCTGTCATGGACCAAGTCACTGGCAGTGAAGCTTTTGGTTCTATTCTATCTTGTTCATTCTCAGAGAAAACAAAACATTAAAGTAGTTAAGTTGTAGACAGCATGATTTATTTCTTTAGGAAATTACTTTTTATTCTGAATTTTGATGGCAATAATTGTCCTTGAAATGGAATGTGGGAAGAAATAAATGTTAAGAATCTGGAGTGTCTGGCTGGGCGGTGGTGGCTCACACCTTTAATCCCAGCACTCAGAAGCAGAGCCAGGTGGATCTCCATGAGTTCAAGGCCAACCTGGGCTACCAAGTGAGTTGCAGAAAAGGTGCAAAGCTACACAGGGAAACCCTGTCTTGAAAAACAAACAAACAAACAAACAAACAAACAAACAAACAAACAAACAAACAAACAAACAAACAGACTCTGGAGTGTCACCAGGTGGAGCATGCCTTTAATCCCAGCACTTTGGAAGCAGAGGCAGGACATCCCTGTCTTCAAAAAGGGATTTGTCACTACACTTCCTTGGAAAGGGATGTGATTTCTTGTGTAGATTCCCACAGCAAGATAGGTGTGTCCTCTACCTAGTATTGTGCTGGCCCCCACCCATCCACCTAAACAAACATACCAAACAATACTGCATAGCAGCCTGGTCTTATCTTCCCTTGCCAAAGCTCTTTGCTTTGGGTTCACAGCCAAAAAAAAAAAATCATCTGTTGAAATCATCTGCTCTTTCTGCTAACCCAAGCTGTCGGAAAATCTTGACTTCAGACTCTTCTGTAAACTGTAGCTCAACACAATTGACCAGAAGCAAAAGAACAAACTTTCCCATGAAGGCAGAGCAATTTTCTGCATCTGTCTTTTTAAATTTTTTATTAGTATATATTATTTGTACAAAATAATGAACTGCATGATATTGATATTTTCATATGCATACATACTGTACTTTGATCATACTGATCTATTTCTCTCTTACTCTTTATGCTTGTTGACAGTTTCCTTCCCTTTTTTCCCTCTTTTCCTCCCTCCTTTCTTCCTTCTGTGGTGCTGGGAATTGAAATGAACCCAAGGCTTTGTACATGCTAGGCAAGCACTCTACCACTGAGCTACATCCTCAGCCTGTTTCACGACGTTATAAAGCCATGTTCCATATTGACTGTTAATGCTTATTTGTATACTGTTACGTATATTTGTGTAGGTGTTAACATGGGAGTCAAACATTGCTGTTTATCAGTTATTCCTTCTTAGTGATTCTCATTCTTTAAGGTCATGGACTTCTTTATTCAAACTTTTTTTGAGACTCAGTACAAATGGACCAAAAGTTAGGCGAGGGAAGCTCTCTGATCAGTAGGGCAGGGCTCATAGCCACTGAGGTACAACATGGCTTCCCAGACCATTGTTTAGCAGGTCTCTCTCTCTCTCTCTCTCTCTCTCTCTCTCTCTCTCTCCTC